GGAGCTAGAAGAAGAAGAAGACGACGACGACGACGAAGAAGCAGCAGCAGCAGGAGGAGGAGGAGGAGGAGGAGGAGGAGGAGAAGAAGAAGAAGAAGAAGAAGAAGAAGAAGAAGAAGAAGGAGAAGAAGAAGAAGAAGAAGAAGAAGAAGAATGAACATAGCCTTATGAAAAAGATGCAGTTCTAAGAATTAAAAAAAATAAATAAATACTTTGTAAACAATTACGATATAAAGAAAATACATTTGTTTATCTAATAGGGGGATTGAGTTTGATTTCCCGTTCCTTTCCTGCACAAAAGCCCATATTCATAGCAATCTTATTGTGACATAATGTAAAGATTAGAGCAGTGGTTCTCAAAGTGTGGTCCCTGCAGCAACAGCATCGGCATCACCTGGGAACTCATTAGACATGAAAATTTGAGATCTCACTCCAGGTCTCCCTAATCAGAAACTCTGAGAGTGAGGTTCAGCAATCTTTATTTTAACAAGCCCTCCAGGTAATTCTGAGGTACTTGAAAATTTGAGGACAACTGGATTAGACTGCAAACTTTTTCATAAGAGTCAGAAAGTATTTTAAGCTTTGGTCCACCTGCAGTCTACTGTCTCCGTCACAAATTACTTAACTCTCTCTGGCATCGTAGCATGAAAACAGCCATAGACAGCATGTACACCAATGGACATGATTGTTTTCCAATAAAACTTCATTTACAAAATGGGAGTAGGCTGGATTTGGCCCACAGGCTATAGTTTGTTGGCTCTTGGAAGGATAACCTTTCTTACGTTCATCCCTCTCCTTCCTTGTTCATTTCTTATTTTTACTTCTTTTCTTCTTCCCTCATCTCATCTAATCTACTTAGTATCTGTTAATATTTCTTTCCCCCTAGTTCTATATTATTATTCTGTCCTTTCCACTCACCACCTCCTCTGTTTACTCAGTTTCCAATTCATCTTTTCTCTCTTCTCTTGCTATTCCTGCTTCTTTCACCTGCCTCTCTATCTCTTTACTTGACATAGCCAAGACTGTACATTCTTCCAAAATCTTCCCTTACTCCTTTTCCTTTTTTACCACCACAGAAGGATTTTTACCCATTTCCATAATAAATTCAAGAGTATGTTGTTCATTGGCACTATCTATAGAAGTGCTATTTTTTATTTATTATATTATTAAAGAAGGAAATGTCATAGTGTTTTCAGTAATGAAGCTACCTCCATGTGACATCATTAGGCTCAAGAAGCATTCTGTAGGCTGCCTTGGTGGCATTTGTAGATATTATAATTGTATAATTGGAGAACTTCCACTGTGCCTTTTTGCTTTTCTCAAAGGAAGTCAGAACT